GCAGCAGCAGCAGCAGCAGCACATGTTCTCGCTTCAACTTGGCACAATTCAACTCCACGCGTGTGGTGCGCAAAGAACATGGGTATCATCCTGCGAAACTGTAGTGAAGCACCGAGTGTATATACTGCTGACATGAGCAAGGCCCCCCTGAAGCACCCAGAGCACACGAGACAAATTGCGCGTCACCCAGCAGCGCTCTCTGCACACACCGCAGCAGCGACGGGGGAACTCGATTTTTCAGCCGCAGATCTCCGCCTTTTTTTCACATTGTGCACCGCTGGTGAAAACATCAACGCAAGCCCGTAAACCATCGCACAACAGCTGCTGCTGAAAGCACACAACTCTAGACAACTCTAGACTATCTAGTCTAGATGCTCACCTGACTCGTCCGTGTTCCAAACGTGGTCGGGTGCTGGCTTGTGCTCGTTGACGAACTCCTGCCAGAACTTGTAGAAGTTGTGCAGACGATCATCTTCCGGCGAGGTCATCCTGTTGGCCTCGTAGATGCGGGCGAGTCGAAGGCTGATGCGATCGTGCCTTCGGAGGAAGCCCTGCAACCACGACTTCCCCGGGCCCTTGTCGGGGTCCCATGGGATCGGCCGGCCGTCGTTGCAGAGCTGTCTCACACGCTCCTTCAGGTCGTTCCTCGTGAGAGGAATATAGTTCCGACCAGCGTACAGCAGCATATTTTTTTCGCGCATTTTCTTCCTCTTTCGTCAGCACAGTCCCGTGGCCAACCCGTGCGTCCATGTCGCACTCACCGCTCAGGCGCCGCAGTAGCGAGGTCTTGCTCAACCCAAAGGCAGCAGCGGCAGCGTAGCGTGACATGCTGCCGTTGCGGACCGCTGCACACGCCTTCTCGGCCGCTGCGGAGTCCACTCTACTCCGACCCATGCTTAGCAGGAAGGCGGACAAAAGTGCTAGTCTACGCAGAATCATCCGTGCTGGTGCATCTGGTGCTGTAGCTCGTGGTGGAATGGTCGGATCGTCGCGCTGAGGTGCGCAAACGAAAGCTAACGCATTCGCGAGAAATTCAAAAAAAAATTGAGGGGGACGGCAGATTTTGCACCGAGATATGCCCATTTGAAAAAAGTGGTCCTTAAAGGGGGCGTGGTCCTTAATACCCGCCCTTACTCTATGGCACGGCATCAATCACGAGTAAAACATTACCGATTGCGATTGGTACTGCTGCCTTGTGATGATGTGGATTGCAACCAAATATTCACACCTGACAATAAGCTTAGTGCATGATGTACACCCTGCTGCCCGCATTTCTTGTGCCTGCGGACAAAAACAACGACGACTCTTGGTTTTAGAATGAACAAATATTTTAGCTTTGGTGGAGATTTGTCATGGGCATGTGTGGAGCTATGGCAGTGTATGTATTGCTATTTTGTTTGAGTCA